TTTAATTAATTTCATTTAAATTCTATTGTCACGCTCACGCAAATTCGTCTCCTCAGGTACGGTTAATAGCGGGTCCGTTGCCTGTACCTTTGCCGAAAGAATACGGCGGTCTGATGCAGTTGGAGACTTCAACGCGCGGCCCAATAGTTCTGGGATGCATCGTCCCGGAGAGGCCAGTGCACAACCCGGAGATGCTCGAGTTAGTCGTGTGCGGTAACGGTGCGCCGAGGGTTCGAAGGGCACGACTGGGTTACCCTTCGGAAGCGAGATTACTCGCTTCTCCGAAGATGCAGCGATTATTAGCGACCTGCAGGTAAGCTCCTCGTTGATCGTACTTAAAGAGAAGTAGAATCCGCTCGTTATTCAAATCAGAATTTAGCCTTTTCGAGAACGAAGTTCGATATTTATATCCTCGTGAGTCGCTCGATGAATATATATGACGAATAAACTATTTTAATTGATCTTAACTGTTCTTAACTGTTATTATTTATTCATTACGCGAGTTCCGTCCGACTCCATTTCTCGGGAGTCGTAACCATCCCGAAGAACGCGACATAAAATTCGACGTATCATACGATGTAACGGGGCAGTGTCGCCTTATTATACGGAAGGACGTTAATGTCGATGAGAATCTGTACTCCACGCTAAACTGGTTCTTCTGCCGTAGTCGAGCGGTTGGCGACCGCGCAACGGAACCGCGAGTGGCTCCTGTGAAGCTATACCCGACAGGTGAAAGCTTAAGGGAGATGCATCTGAAGAAGATCAAGCCGAAGTCGGACACCAAGCCGATACTGCAGAGCCTGAAGGACGGGCTGGAGCACCTAAGGAGGAGCACCACCGCCAAGGAACGGAACCAAGCGAAGCAGAGCACCGGCAATGGCGGCATCCTCGAGAGGATCTCCAAACTCGCCCAAGGCAACCGGAATCGCAACCCCGCAAAGAAGTCCGCCTCGTTCACGTTCGCGGTGAGGCCAGAGATCGCTATGAGATCGCAGGAACGTTACTCCAGTCTGGAGCCGGAAACTACCTCTCATCAGACACACCATCAAAGCGCCGTCAAGCAGTCCGTGCAGAGATCGGTGTCTACCAGCGTGTTGGAGATCCCAGCGTGCGTCGAGCTACAACCCAACTACTCCCGGGTGAAAGACAGTTTGACGCCGTTGCCGTCCCCGCCGAAACTGATCATGACTAACAAGACCGAGGAGATCTATGCTGAAATCTGCGACACGACGACGAACAGCCAGGTGCAAAAGTGTCCGGGCAGCCATGTGATGGCGCGGATCAGAATCGTCGTGCAGGGTAATAATGATACGCCTATGGGTGCGCGCGGTCCGATACTTTGCAACGAGAGATACGTGAACTCGATGGTGACGAGCGAACAGATTGACTCGATCATCAGCACGGAAGATGAAGTGATCTACAATACCGTGTTTTGAGATAGAATAGAATTTTACGAATGTTTTGCGAATAGAATGCATTCGCGATGTTTGCGAGAGCGTAATTGCTCGTTGACAAAGGAGTTCCAAGTGTCGAACTTCAAGTAGCGACGAATGAAATTGTATCTTAACGAGTAGACAAACGGGCTGTGTTCTTCGATCAACTTTCCAATATTTGCTGTCACGAAATGTATTATAATATACGTAAGGACGCTTAAAGAGATATGTATAACTGCCTTTGTAGAGAAATACGGGAATCATCTGTATATATCTCTGATGTATGTTAATCTACTAACACAATTGAGATAAAAAAACGCGAACGTACGTTAGACGTATACTAGATTAGAATGACGAATGGCTCAAATTAATTAAGAATGTAAAACGTAACTATTATCGAAATAATTTGTCTGTTTCTGGCAAACTTTACCGCAAATGAAAATTAGATGATAAAAATGATAATAGAGGTGAAAAATATTTTCGTCTGTATTAAAATATATATACATTATACTTTTTTAGGTTTTTTTCGATCTTTCCGGTTTTTGCGAGCGTCAATTTTCCCAAAATAGAGTACAATATTGTATGCGTTTTGAAAGTATCTTTTATTACTCTGTTCCATTATTAGCTTTTTGACCATAATGGCCACGATAACGTATGTGCAAACTCTTAAAAATATCCTAATTTGTATTCATCAAAGTTAATGCGTGTAAAGAGTTTTCGCGCTTGGACCCGTATATGGTTTCGTTTTATTTACATATCGCATACATACGAATCATTTTGACAGAGAAAGGAAAATCTAGATAGAGAGCGTGATATCTCGCTTTCCACTACGTAAAAGATTTTTCATAAGGACAATTTGCAAATGTATGTATATTGTTGAAACAAATGGACAAATAAGTAAATTACTTTTTTACTCCAATTTATTACATATTCATAAGTCCGATTTTATATTTGACGTCGTCTTATATATTTCTTCAAATATCATCTAGCCAATGAAACGATATTAAAAATTATCTGACATAAATTTTACATTGACTTAGATGTAACATTGGATTATAAACATCGTTTGTTCCTTTTTAATCGCAAACAGCTATTCATTTTCACATCGAGAGAGCATTAGTAAACATTCATAAAGAATGTTGACATTCATAAAGAATACAGTTTTTGATATATACTTTATCTGTTGCTATTTTACTGAGTACTTTTTAGGGTCACGTTAAGCCTCCCGCCAAACTAAATGTCATTTTGAATAGCTATATGTTAATGCTACATAACTGCAAAAAAACTACAAATTAATCTTAAAATTACTTTTTAACTGCTATATATAAAAACAATTTGACTTAGGCCGGGTTGCACCAACATTATTTTGGTTTTAGGCGAGACTTAAATATACGTTTGTCTTTATTCATTTAGAAACAAAGATATATATATATATATATATATATA